TTTAGAAAATTTCTTAGAATCTTCTGGATGGATCCGGCAGCAAATCATGTTGCCCACCAGGAAGCCCAAAGCGTGTTGAAGAACCTCGTTTATCTCAATCAGTGGGCAGGGCAGGATCTAACAATAAGTGACAGGCAGACACAGATTCCCCGAACACTAGAAGGACTATGTATAATTTAATTATGTTGGGCAATTAATTCATATCTATTCAACAAAGTATTATTGGAAATAAACAGTATTCAAACTTTTAAAGATAATTATGAAGAAAACTAATAGTGCTACAATGGCTCCTATTTGCTTGCATAACTTTTAACATTTGCAATTCTGTGGGACCCCAGCAATGCTGCAGCTTTCTGTCACAAAATCGTTTGTTTCTGCTGCAATATTACAATACTCTCTCTTTACTACGTACGTAGTAAAGAAAGAAAATACAAACAGCCCTGCATTTCCACATATGCTTCAGCTGCCTCTTTTTCTAAGGTAAATGAAAGGTTTCCGTTGTTACAAGGTTTACTCACTGATTCTGGCACAAAGTGTCTGTGAGATATTAAATGTTTGTGCAAGACTTTTTGCTGATCTGTTACTTCCCCCCATTTCAAGAGCCGATCATCTTAGACATTGCTATTGTTCTCCTTCATGATGTAACTATCTGAAATCACAAGTATACATAATAATAACAACCTAAAAATCCAATGAATGTTATTTGAATAGACTGGGTTAATGATGCCCAACAGCATTTCTCTGACTGATGCGGCACACTTATCCCAGTTGAAAAATATGGCAGAGAAATGAAAAAAGCAAGCTAATCGTACACATTTCTTTATAAATATGCCAAATAATAAGTTCATTTGTCACACTTCTACTAAATATATGGATGGTTATTATAAATTAAAGAGAACCTACACTGATCTTCTACTTTCAGAATTTAAAAAATAGATTATAAGTTACAGTAAACACAACTGTCACTTTCACTTCACTTCTGAAGGACCTACAACTGCATCAACTACAACAACTGTCACCAAGGGAGTAGCATCAATCAGGTGTTCCTGGTGGGAAAGACAAATTGAGCCTACCCCCCCACCCCCCAAGTGGCACCATTTCATCACCTTGACTACTACTGGTGCTGCTGCTATCACATAGGGGTGCAAAGGCTGAAGCTGTGTCCAGGAACCAAAGCTTGTAGTTTCAAATCTTATATAAGGCTTGGAAATTTTCACATATTATTACAGAATAGTATTGTGTCAATATCTTCTCTCTTTACTGTGTATTGTGTATGAATTATTACCCCATTCAATAATTGAAACGTTTATTTCAGAAACCCAGCAAACGCCAAAATCTAATAGACGCATTAGCAGTGGATTATTGTTCCAAGAGGATAGACACATCGTTTAGTGCAAATTTGTACAAAAAATATTCATTTACCAACTGCATTAATAAATAAAAATATTTTGAAATCAAATAAATTGGGAGACTTTTTCTCAGTTTTCTCAGAATGAGGAATTTGGCGTTTCACGGGTTTCTGAAATAAATGATTCAATTGATCCCTCATCATTATTTGCCCTTCATCCTGTCATCTTCAATCCAGTGAAAGGCAATAGCAATCCACCAATATGAACATCTCCCCAGGAAAGGGGAAGGTTTAAAGTACAACCCCTCTTCCTCACCTACTCTCAACAACAGAGTATGGCACTCTGCCTCCTCCTCCTCCTCTCATCATCATCACTTGTAGTATTGGTAAAGCCACTACAGTCTCCCAGTGTCTTTATTTATATCTCAATGATCACTAGGCACAACTGTTACTATTGCTATTATATTTCCAAACTAACAACAGTTAATATCTCACAAATCTGGATAATGGGTATTTCTTCTTCGGGCAATCCTGCAAACCAATGATAATGATATTCAACTCCATAGGGAATAATGATTAGAAAAAAATCTTCAGAAAGAAATACAAAAATCTTCATTTCTTTTGTACACTTACATATACACATTTCAATTACATTCAAAATTTCAATGAACATAATTATAAACACAGAAATAGACTCTCTGTAAGAGTATATTTTGAGCAGTTAACAACGTAACCCATTCACACATAAGTATTGCTTACTTTCAATCAACTGTTCATTAAGAGCTGCACCACACCAAGAAATAAACACACCCTTTCACTCACATCACTTTGAGCTACCTACATTAATGAGTATGTTGGAAAAACTTAACCTAAATCTTACACAATGATGAAATCGGGACAAAAGTACAAAGGCTTTTCTGAGGAAATCAATATGCAACATGAAAGCTGTTGAATTGATCCACTACAGTTGTTCGGACATTCTTTTACTAGTCATTTTCAACAGGAAAAAAATATCCCTAAAATGCTGGTAACCTTTCTCTATCCCTGAAATGACAACTTACTGTTTCAAAGAAAATTTTACAGTTTGTAAGATTTTCAGCTTAAGGCATTTTCAACTTCTCTTTTCAAATTACATATCAATTTCTTCAAACTGATTTAAGTAGCCCATTAAAAAAATATTTACATAAAACAACAAATGAGTTAATGAAATGTAACCCTTTAGTGGAAGTATGAATTCTCTATGATCTGCCTTCATTCAATGCATGTCCTTTGTGACAATTCATGCATGTGATATGCAACAATTTTGTTTAACATATTGCTTTTATATCACCAGTGATTTTAATTATTTACCACTAATTAAGTACTTCTACAGCATATTAAATAGTTGCCATGCACTGTTTTCGATACAAAAGAGCAGCAATGACATAGGCAATGGCATTTTGGGCAAAATTGAAATTGAACTGCAAACATTAAGTATCAATAAAATAAATACTATTTAAAATGTCCTTGGTAATCACGTGTAATTAGCAACAAAACTTATTTGTTTAAAGTCATATTCTTCTGAACACATACAACAAAGTAACTCAATTATTAAAAGCATTTTGACATATAAAAGTTCAATTTCACATAATTATTCACCCATACAGTACATTAACTAATTCTTGATTGCCACACCTTTTGAAGAGTATCTATTATACTCTTAACACTTCATTAATGAGATCATGTAACATGCATGCCATTACAGTGAATGCTTATGAAAATATTAAATTGTGTTCAAAGATTTTTTTAAAATACTCTTTAATGTACACTTCTGATCAAGAATAGCAGAAAAACAAATCAAAAAATGAAACTTAATACTGAAAGGAAAAAAGTAAGGCTAATTTCAAATTATTGATTCAGAATATTACATTCTATTAGAGCAACTAACTTTTTCTTTGACTATGCACAAATGTGATTGTAAGAAAAAATAAATTAATAGAAAAATAATGTACTCTACATTTAGCAGTGGTGTGAGGTTTATTGTCATGAGCTTTTATATTTTAAGGGAATCTGCAATGATCCTGAATCTGCAGAGAAGTTGTTAAATGATGGGAACAGTTATCTATAAAAGTAATTACCGTATCTACCCAAATATAAGACACATTTTTTCCCTAAATATCTCTTTTGAAAAACCAACATGCTCTTACAGTTGCAGATTAAATTTATGGGTTGGGATAAATCATTTTCATGGACTCTGACAAGAAACTTAGGATTTGCTGGGGAGAATATAACATTATTATAAATACATTATTTCACAAGTGCAGAATATCAACACAACTCATCATATCGTAACACAGCAGATTTTCAGATTCAAAGGCAATTGTGAATCAACCTGTAAATATATTTGCAGATGATTCCTTGGCATCCACAGTGGATATGCTGGGTAATTCAGACCAACATTTTTCAATGGACTGGTAAAGACTGAATATCAAATGAATGGCATCGTAATAAGTGATATACATTGTAAAAATGAATTAAAATCATGAGTAAGATTTTTGGGGTGTATGGGGATCTAGTTTCACAGCAGCCCACAACTCTTACTATACTATTTACTTGTAATTATTGAAATTTGCAGATCTTAAGTAAATAATTATACAAGGCCATGCAGAAGGAAGAAAATTTGGTGTTGCTAGGTGATAGGTGGAAGTCAAAAAACGCAAAATTATTATGCGCAACTTTCAAGGGGACCTGAAACATCAGAAGACAACAACCTACTATGAAAGGAAAAAAGAAACAAATGATTCAAATGAAGATGGTCATGAGAGAATAATGATGATATAAAGAAGAAAATAGTGATAAATCAGGCATAAAGACTCCTTTTTTATCAGCCAGGCAGTTTTCTAGTCACTAGGGCAATATGTGATTTTATTGAGTCTGCAAAAATTAAGAATTACATTTAATTTTTTTTAAATCTCAGGTCTCATCAAAAAGTAATGATTTTTTAAATTCAGTTGTCTAATAGTCAAGTAAATACGGTATAACTATTTTTAACATGTATTCCATCATTTATCATTCAAGAATCTAAGTAGCTCCTTGGTAATCCAAATTTACAAAATTCTTATAACAATGTGCAAGTGTAAGTGATTTCTGAAATATACATCATAATACCAGCTCTAGAATACAGAGAGCAAACTGATATTGCAGAAAGGGCACATGACATTTTGAGTGAAAGCAAGTTAATTGCAGATCAATCATATTCAGAAGTAAAATGTTTTCTTATTAATTTAAATAGTGGATCCTCTCCATTCACAAGGAACATTAATTGTTATTGCAAAGTATGTATCTTTATAATAATAACTTTTTCTTTCTCTTGAAAACTTGATTTAGTCATATGCACAACCTGCAACAACTAATTTAATTTGCTGGAGTAACGAAACATTTTACATTCTTTTAATAGTGCCTGTATTCATTAAACAAAAACTAGAAAGAATAATGATGAATATTCCTTGGGGGTCTTCAAGTAGTTTTGAAGATGCATTAAATAAATCAGGTAACAAACAAGTAGCCCTAATCTTTTTAAAACATACCTCAAAAATTGAATTTATGGTAATTTATAAAGCAATGGACAACCATCAACAAGTACTTTCTGAAATCTGATATTATGGAAATACTTCTGTTAAGTTTTTCACCAGAAGTACCGAAAGCTTTTAAGTAAAATGATGAAACTGAACTTCACTGATATATATGAGATATTTCACATGAAACTGGGTGGAAAATTAAATCACAATATCTGAAAATGCTTTTGCAATCTGAACTCAAACTACTCAACAATGTCAGAGAAGTGGCAAAATACTTTTGCTAATCTAATAATTGGGACAGTTTATAACAATCTTGCACCATGCTGCTGGCAAAGTCTTTTAAGTAAGAGTACTTTCTAAGGATTTAAAAGAAATTCTTGCAGCACTTCTTTAAATCATCTGAGAGAATATGAAGTTTATCATTGTAACAAAAGAAATTAACAAAGCAAAAGTAAAATCTTTGCTAATATGCATTACAGGAATCAACATATATTGCAGTTTATGGATGGAACGTAAGAGAAATGAATCGACACATTTTACTATACTTTTGTATAACACATAAAATTTATCATGTTAATGTACCAAATGAATACTTTTCTTTTTCAATAAAATTGGATGCTCTAACAATTATGCATACCAGTGTCCCCCTCCCTTCCCAAAAAAGTCTTTAAACACTTGGCTCAGATTGATTTAATTTGTCTAATTATCAAACAGAATAACATCATAAAAGATTTATCAATATTAAGTTATTAGCTTATAATAACTTAAAAATTGCTTCATTGGAAGTAAGTAAAAACTTGGAAATTTAATGTTTGGGGGAAGTTTGCACATGTACATATGTTTTCCAGCAATAATTATGTCAACTAATTTGTGATCAGTTTTTCAACAGAGGCTACATATACTCAATTTTTTGTACATCTAAGTTTCTAAATGACTAATAGATTCATTAAAATGCAATTAAATTTGTTAAAATGAAGAATCAGATTTTTTAAGTATGTATTATTGACAAGAGGAAAATTAAAATCACTCCACATCAACAATTCCAGTCAAAGGAAAGATGTATACTACAAGATTCAAAAGAGATATGTTGATGTACTTGCAGAAGTCATTAATTTAGCAAAATTTTGGTCAATTTATTTTTTAATAATATTTGCTTACATCATCAAGTATCTGAATTATTTCCTCTTCTTTTTATTATGCTAAAACTAGAACACATAGTGACACATGGCAATGCTTTAAATCTTACAAACTACTACTAAACTCTCTATATCCATTAAGTTCAAGAAATTTAAGTGATTGGAAAGATCTTTAAATATTCCCACACTGTGTCCAAAATTCTCTCTGTAGTTTTATAAAATATTAGACAAATAAAATCAGTTGAGTCAAAGGATTAAAGGAAATAAATTTGGCACTGCAAAAAAGATGACTGGTTTTTACACGATAATTTAAAATACATAGTGAAAACTAGCTTGCATGTATGGCAATTTGGTTCTTGCCCCGTTTACTAACTACATTTCTTTAATTGGTTTTGTAAGTATGGCCATATGTACAATTGGGGCAGTGCCTCAGGGACTCCAACAAAGAAGAAAATGATAAATCTATTTTTCAGAGCATCTTTATGACTAATCACAATATTACAATGCTAAAAATGTCACGGACTTCCTGCATAACTGTCCAAAGGAGCTACTGCAATATCTGCCACATTCACCTAATATATACAATCTCTTTCTACAAAACAATTTGCTACTAGGACTCCAGAGAAGTAATAACACAAGTCATAGGGAGGTATCTGTGGGAAATCGACACACTTTCCACAAATGTGGCAGAAGGTCATACTTATAGGGGAGATTACATTGAAGAAATGTAACACTAATTACATATTTAACTCTAAGCAAAATACAAATTATGGCAGCATTGATAGAACTTTTGATCCAACCTTTCAAATTATTTGATCTGATAATTTTTAATTTAATATAATAATAAATTGTCACCACCCTATCACCATTTAGGACAGGCAATTATGTCAGAAAGATGTTCTGCACAGTAAATGTTTCCTATGATGTGGCTGTGTTACTATGTAACAAATGTATTTTATTAATTCAAATTGTTCAATTCTCTCTTCGAGATTTTCTTATCCATATGTGAGTTTGTTTTAGCAGCAGAGAATAATCATTACAATCTATAGTTTATTCAATGAGGCACAGGCACAATTAAAATATGCTCTTTCACTTCCAGATTCCAGTCTTACAATTACTTCCACCTTTGCTCATTTATCTTAAGGAAGATTCCATATTCTGTACCAACACAAGTACAAGCACTTGTGTTGGTACAGAATTAAGATTCTTAATTTGGCAGTACAGATTAAAATTCTTAATTTACAGTAAATTCATTGTAACCTATAAGGAACAAAATACACTGCAAAAATGTCTTCCTAATAATTGCAATTAAATGCCTGACAATATAGTATATTTTCGTTCAGCACATTCCATTCTTTGCGACACATGCAGAGTAATTAAATACTACAATTAGATCTTTTAAAGTATTCATAATAAAAAACACTTTCAACTGCTTAGATTTCATTTGACCAAGGATCACAAAATAACGATAATTTAATTTTGTAGGAATTCATAAATATAACCATTTTTAAGTTATAGGAAAAGTATGTGAATGTGAAATATTGAATAAAAATTTAAACTTGTAACAATAACATGACTCCATAAGCTGTTTTAAATCAATGACCTATGGCAGGAATGTCATTCTCGTAGTCCTGGAGTGCATGAAGTATGAGATGTGTGTATTTGAAGACCTTGGTAACTGAATGTATCTCCATAAGGGATGTACATTCAGAATCAAAGAGTTATTTCTGAAAAGATGTTTCTCCATTTACATTTGTCTCAATATTCTAACATCTATTGAAGTATGAGATATTTTGTCTTCATACAATAAATCATTTTTATGTTATATACAAACCTCTAAATAAAGTTTGAAAATTAAGAACTCTCTGACAGTTAGGAAAAGTTATTTGTTAGCCTTCTAGCAATGACAATTGAGGCGTTGACATGGAAAAGCATGTTCGTCAAATTATCGAAAAGCATGCAGGCATGGATCCACAAGAAGGAAAATGAGGGAAATTTTTCTTCCTACAATTATTCAGTAACTATAATTTTAACTTGTCACAAAATTTTCAATCACAAATATTTATGGATAATCATTAAAACGAATAAAATCGTATTGCAGCATGAACTGAGTGTAGCCTGCAACATTTACAAAATATGTAATGACTAGGGGGCAGATTTTAATGAAATGTCATCTTTTTCCTTTTCACTTTAGAACAATGCCGTTTAGCATAGAAATTCATTTTAAGTTATGACAAAACGAAGTGACCCATTTTTGTGTCTTGTTTTGCATTTTTCATTGATTTTATCTAATAAGTAATTTTTATCCTTTTTACATAACTTATAAAACATTTTTCATGGATTTCATCGATTTTAATATCATTTTAATGATACTTGCTCTAACAATATTTACAAGGTGCAACAAATGTTCACCACAGAATTCCTGAGTAGCCTCTCCAATTTCTTTTCTCCTATATGGCAATGTCAGTTGAGTACTGTGTAATATACGGTTCCTGTGACCTATCGGTGACATTGCCAGTTCGGCCTATTTCACGATAAATGAAGGCAGAGATTCTCTTTTAAAGAACCGTCCAAACCAAAAGTTTGTAGGCTGAGTTCACTGGAATAAAAGGAAGAAGCCTCAATTACATAAGTAATATACCCAAAAGTTTGAGTTGTTCATATTAAGTGGTTTTCATCAATTTTTTTAGGTCATTTTTCCTTTTTGGGGGGTCATTTTAAAAATATTTTAAGAGCATTTTATTGATCATTTTTGGCAATGTTTTAGGTCTTCAAAATCCATCCCCTAGTAATGACATATTCGACCAAAACATTTTTAATTTCCCCTCCCAAAATTTGTCTCTGAATCCATAACTGAGCATGTAAGTTCCAAATTTTACAGGACAAACAGAATATGTACCAAAGCCCTCAACACTAATGTCTAATGCCTCACATTTATCTCTGAAAAGCTGCCAAATACAACCTATTTCTACTGACATACAGATTTTACTGTTCAATGAGCATGGGTTCTTTTAATATCATCTATCTCAAAACTAACTTTTGACTTTTTGTATCTTTCATGCTTTTCCATGTTAACACAACAATTAAATTCATTCACAGAAGAAGAGTCGTGATCAAGTAAACTACTGTAAAAAACGAACTACTCTGCAGTTTCCAAACTCTTTTGCAAATAATCTTTGGATCAATGCTTCTTTACTCACACACACCACTTTCAAACTAATTTCTCTTACAACAAATTAAGATAATTAAATAGCACATATAAGAATGCAAAGTAAATAAAATACAAAGTAAATTCAGCCTACAAGGGTGATCCAGGATAAAATGTACACTTGACTGTTACATGTGCACGTCACATCCTCAAATACCCTCCAGTACAAGCTCAGACTGAATTAAGCCATGTTGTGATGTCAATGATCAGAAGTACTTTTATGTGCTTCAATCTACAAAAGTTTGTGATAGAATAGCGAGTGCCACCAAATATGAAGGTCTTAGTGTCATTCAGATCTTGAGTGCAAAAATGATTGTACTGAAATTTATCAGCATATGAGCAAAGTGTACAGTGAGAGAGTGACAAATTGGTGTACTGTTTAACCACAAAGAAAAAAACATGCACAATGATGAACACTGTTTTATCATTTTTCTGTTTAGTGGTTAAACACTTTGGTGGCAGAAGTTTATGAAGAACTAGAAAAACTGGATACTACATTAAGACGAGTATATGAATTTACAGGACATCATGTAGAAAAGTAGTATGAGGCTTCTTGCAAATTTCGAATAAAAATGGTTCAACAATCTCTACTTTATTTTGTAATACTAAAAAATGTTTACTTTCTAAATGACATTTCATAATTTAAATGAGTTCTACTGAATGATGTCTGGCAGGTGATATTGATAAGACATAAAACAGAATTTACATTCTTCCAAAAACAAAACAAGATTTTCACTACTTACTTGTTTCAGCTGCGAATACATCTATTTTCATAAGCATGGCATGGGTCCACAGAGTACACAATGCATGAGAAATTTCACAAATATATGTGCCTGTAGCATTCATGTTTCCCATTGCACTATTTATTCTCCAAGTAAATAATTAGTATTAATGTTATTGTTTTTAGAAAACTGCTTCACAATTCAGTAACTTTTCAATGAAATTTAAAAAAATGCAGGATTTCTTGACATTAGCGTGTGAGTATTCATAGATTCTGCCACAATAGAATGCTGCATAAATATTTTCCAGTGAAAAAGATAATTTACACAAAAACAGGAACGAAACGTTTTCTATGTCAAGTCCATGTATGGCAATATTAAGTATGAATTAATAAATAAAACTATTACCAACCACATCATCTTGTGGCAGGAAAAAATACTGCCACATCCACATTATATGAAATGATACCAATACGGTATTATAAAACATCTGTACATATCATGAGCAATAAAGAGATTATCATATATTGTCACCAATAATAATAATAATAATAATAATAATAATAAAAAAATAATAATAATAATAAAAATAATAAACATGTGTGTTGCAAACCTTGAGATTCCCATTCAATCTCAACATTTTCATTATTTGGAATTTTAGATATGATTGTCTCAGAACGAATGACAAACAATTACAAAGACTGCTACATGGCATCTAAAGACATATACATACCTAGGAAAAATATTCTTTGATCTGTCACATAAAATTCATGAAAGTGAAGTCTTAAAACTTTCGTAGCACTAATTAACTAGGAATGACATGGCAAGTTTTTCTCATACTAGCTAAAGAGTAGAGAAAATCTCAATGATGGGTGTGTATGCATTCATTTCTGAAATGTAAACTGACCAAAAAGGTCCGTGTTCTGATGAAATCACTAGGAAGATCTCACACGATAATTTCTCTAATGACTCGACGATTACGTGAGTTAGGTGTAGAGTAACCACTCTCAAGGCTCTCGTCAAAAGACAAAGAAATGTGTTGTGGTTTGTTATCATCACAGTCCAAAGGATCCATATATGGATCAGGCAAACCACTCACATCATGATAAGTAGAATCTGTAATTGATAAATAGAAATAAAAAAAACATTGATGCAACTGTCATGTAAAAAAATTTTCAATCTGAAAATATAAACATCAATAAATTACTATTATTTTGATTTCTGTTTATTCTATGAATCAAAGTTTTTTTCTTCACATGTGAAATTGTGTTTTGTGAAGATTACCGCTGTAACTACCTGTTCAATGTATTAGAACATAAATACATACAATGTACTACTTATGATCTGAGCTGTCCGGGTGGCGCCGCGTCGATGGCTGATGTGCCGACGTTGCAGTACAGCCCCTGAAGAGGACCGCGACACGTCGGTCGAAACGTCGGCACATCAGCCATCGACGCGGCGTCACCCAGACAGCTCAGATCATGACTCTGGCCGCGGAAGCCTACGACATCAATGTAGTACTTATGTACACAATTATTCTTTAAAGTGAAAACCACTGACTCTATAATCTAGATTTCCCAACTAAAGACATTTTTCTAATATGCAGCCACAAAACAAATCCCACCTGTGTCTTTATTTCTCTGACAAAGACTGACTAACAAAGAGTAAAAGAATTATTCTCCCAAAATCCAATCCTAAAAGATTCTACAAATTGAACACAAAATGTTTCTGATTCAAATACTGATTGGTAAATGGTTTGATAAAATGACAGTAATATATAAGTCATAAAGAGATGTTTCTTACCTAAATGCTGATCTATCCTTTTCTTTGATTTATGAACTGCAGCATATGGGTCAGTACTATAATCCTGGCGACTTGGGTTGTTACTTCCATGTTGACCTTGATGATAATCAGTATCTGTTGGACTACCATTTCCCATGTGGGGATACGAGGCATAATCATCAACAGTTCCATATCCTCCATGTGTAAGAGGATCATATCCATACGAATGATGATGATCATTTGAACCATTTGCATTATTATTGGAAGCAGTCATTTTCATCTGCCAAAGCGAGTCTTGAGAATTAACTGACCCACCATTGTTTGAGTTTGAATAACTGTTATCCATGTAACCCATGTTGATCCCTTAAAAAGCACAGAAATTTATATCAGTAACAGAAACACAATTAAATGGCAGAAACATTGGACACAATACAAATACCTCAAAAGTACTTTTACAAAATCAAAGATCTTTGCATCTCATGCAGTAATTAGTCAGATCCTAACACCACTGACAAGCAAAATATCAGAAAAAATATACTTCATACTGAAGTGATCATGAGAGTACACAATTTCTGTTATAATTACATTTTCTGAAATTAATTTTTTTTTTATTCAGCATGTCTTTGGTGTACATTTTGAAAGTTTAAAATAGACTAAGAATTAACTTCAAACTCAATGCAATTCAATTATGGAGAGGGAACACAGGACATTTTGATCTGTTGCTCCAAACATATTTTGCAATAGTATACTTCTATTCTGTTGCATAATTGTTTTCACACAGTTAGAAACTACAAGAAAGTCGTAATAAAATTATTAAAAATATTAATAAAACATAAATCAGTAGTAATAAATAATTATTGAATATAAATAATAAAATATAATTTCCTTCAAATGACAAAAAACTGACCATTGAGTAAATGCTCAAAGTGACCACCATTTGCCAAGACACAGGTGTTTCACTCTTTTCAGTGTAGTGGATGCAGTACATTAAAGACTAACAAGGTGAGAATAAGTGCTTTCTCTTTCTTCCAACTTAAATTAGCCACATTCTCTCACTCCGAAATCTGAGCGGCCATGATTAGTTAAAAGTGTAAGGGATGCCAAAGGTAGTTCATGTGTTGCCAAATTACCAAAACAAGAGGCGATATTTCCAGACATGGGTTGCAAGTTAAGCTAAAGACCCTGTATAATTTTGAAAGACTCAATTTGCTTATACCAAGTATTGTAATCAATTCTAGGTTACAACATCTAAATAAAAAAATAAGAATATTACTCTAACAAATGATATTGATACTTTACAATAGTAATGTTGCCTACAAAATCAACTGCTACACTTTTGTGGCAATCACAAGAGGTTAATACAAAAGTATTTTGACACATGATCTAACCTTTAACATCCCTAGTTTATGAGAATAAGGCTCAAGAGGTAATTATTAGTTCCATTTTATTATTTTCGTTGGGTTACTAATTATTCTCATTTATTGGGTGAACAATTTAGAGAGTAACTTCATAAAAAAAGAGATGCTGGAAGCTATCTGATTTTTATTTTCCTTTACACAAGTTATACATGTGGGGGCAACTTTCAGAGTCACAAGACACCCAATCATATCTAAGTGATCTGGGGGCTTTACAACTGTTACTTAATGATAAGAGCTTACATCTTCATTTATTAGATCAAAAGAAATTGGTAATTTTAGAATTATTAAAAGATATGTACAGTGAGTGAAACAAGAACAAAGGAAATACAACATAATTATATTTTATAAGCATTAAATAATAACAATAATAATAATAATAATAATAACAACAATAATTATTACCCAGTATGGTGTCCAGGGATTTTAATACAATAGCACCATGGGAACTTCCTCCATCTTAACAGATGGCTAAATCACTATCACTAAAAGTAAATCTTTCTTCTCACATCTGTTCTCCCATCCCCACTCCAAAGTTAGAGTGTACTGAGTAGCTTAGAGGCTTTTGATATCCACCAAAAATTTGTCTGCACATTTCCTTCATATCCAAATTCAGTTCCTTCCGAGATCAGAGAAGAGAAGACACATGCCTGAGGTAACAATATGAAGACCTCAACCTCAACAACAGCTAGGGGGAAGGTGTGACCCATCCTATAGGGCTAGTTCATAGGAAAACGAGGATGAAGGATTAGAGATGACAGCCCTATCATAAACCAATCTTTATTCTAGTCGTAAGATGTCGGCAAAAGAGTCACTGCCTGGGGATTGCCAGGGTGTGGTTGGAGCCAGTGACAGTTTGCAACCCACTGGTGGTATATTACTGAATAAGTGGGCACAAACCAGGATACCTAAATCTTTCACATCTAATGAAAGCAGCAATCAAGAACAAATAGCAGCAACTGCTTATAGTGTTTCGACATTCCTTGGGACTATTCGAGCAAACCTACCATGATGAAGGATACAATGCACAGCTGACATGAATGACACATATTGTTTCAACAGCATTTTTCTATTTACTCAGTTGTGGAACAAATTGTGCAGGTTGCCAGAGGAAATTTTATAAAAACGTTCTTCAACAATACCCACAATAATCCTAGCTTATGGAACAGAATGTTGATGATTGAAGAGCATTTACTTACAAGAGAAAAAGGTATGTTGTGCATTCAAATACAGGGTTCACACAGAAATGCAATGGTATGAAACTAAATTCGATAACAGTAACTTCTGAACTACAGATCCTAGAATCCAACAAAATTGAGCTCAATATCATGATACACCATACTCCAAGTATATCCAAAAATGTTCATAAAAACAAGTTATAAACTGTACTGGGACTCAAGTTTACTGTTGAAAGTTCGAACAATTCACAACAGCCCTGATATAACACTGGGATAAAAACAAGATGGGTTTAGATAGGTTTTATAAAAATGTGTGCCAATAATAGCAACTGATATCAAAGATATTATGCAATTTAAAAACTTATTAATTGGAAATCATCAGACCCGAACTAACAGTATAAAAGACTCACATGTGTAGACTTAGAAAATTGAGTCAACATATCAATGTGGGTTTGACAATCCAACAAAGGTGCCTAATTTTCTCTCCCATGATATCAAATACTTGTTGCCTATAGATGCAATGAGAACAGAAGACTTGACAAAATATCTGTCAATTACCTGTCTTTCAACGCTACAAAATATTAACATTCTGTATAGCTAGGAACATTTGTGACTATTGTGAAAAAAATAACATCAATGCTTCCCAGCAAAAACTGCAGCAAAGGATCAAAAGACAGTAAAGAACAGTCAATAATTGATTGAGTTGTGTCTGGCCAAGCATATGCACGCCACCAAAATTTAGGTATGACCCACATAGACAACCACACAACTGGCTACTCAGGTACTCCAAATATTCAAAATGACCCTAAGATAATTCATTTTGTGGCACAAGAATAAAATTATTGAAACAGACATTGAAACTAATAAAACATGATTGCTCTACAGTGAAGTATCTTCCAAGGTGACCGAGTCCTTTGTGGTATGTTTTAGCAATGAAGATCAGGTTTCAAAAAGCATTCAAATTTAACCCCCTTTCCTACGTGGCTGACTTGAAATTGCATGTCATAACAAATATGACATCAGAACATCTTGTGTGAATTTTGGAAACATTCTCAAAAGACATATGTATGGGACTTGCATTGAATAATGTCAGGCAACTAAAATAGTGAGAGATAAAATGCAAGATTATGAATCCCAGCTACAAGATGAACAGCATATAAGATCAATGTTTTTAGACAATTACTACAAGTATGTAATTGGGTGTCGAACAAGCTAGACGTCCTGATCATTCAACAGTTAAAAGGGAGTTATCAGCTGATTTTGCTGGAAGAATCAGGCAAGTTTTGATGACATCTCTGAACAGCACTAGCATGATCAAAGCAACAAACACATATGCTGAACCTGTACTTGGTTACTCTTTTGGGATTATCAAATGAAGTAACATAAGCATCAAAAGCCTCAAAAGAAAACTGCACATATTAATGACTAGAGAATGTAAGCATCATTCAAAGTCAGCAGTAGGAGGGATAATATTACCACGGCATTTGGGTGGTCAAGGTGCTGTGGACATAGGAAACCAAGCATCTCTACAAGATCTCTACAAGAATATATTCATAAGAAGCAGAAACATTAAAAATACACCCACTCTTTTTTTTTGTCACTTTTACTGTGACAACATACTTCTCTTAAGCCAACTTTTTGGCATAGGACACTTTCTGGAGTAACTCTCCATTAACCTGGTTTCTTTGCCTTCACATGGAGAAATTCTGTTATTACTTAATGTGTCTGTAAGATCATCTGTAGAAAGTTGTCAGGAGGACCACCAGGTAGCATCACTGCGTTTGTGCCTTTCACACCACACACATTCCTGCGTCACTACCCAGCTGCCAGAATTGGAAAGGAGTTTTGACATAAAAGCATTAAACCACTGACTAATGGGAGATGAAATGTTTCCAGAAATTGAAGGAATTATATTGGCTACGCAATATCAACTTATATCCACAAGGTGTTATTCGAAAGGAATAGTAAGAAATCTCCAGGGACAAGATCACATGGATGCCAGTCATGGCAAAATATCCACTATGTTCCATCAGGACGAACATATCTCAAGGAACCCACTACAAACAATGCCATTATGCAAATGAAATGATTATGTAACAAGAGATTGCGTATTAATGCCTGTTAATAAAACACACAAGGTTCCCCACTATAAAAAATTACTTGACAGTGTTCTCAAAAGTGAGGAATACCATATTTTTTGAGAGAGAACAATTCTCACAGATCAAACGGCTCCTCATAACAGACTTAATTTGGTTGAGGTAGTTAAGAGAAATGGACAAGTCAACCTGATCGACAAATACAAAAATTCTTCTACGGATGTAAGTCAAGAAGAACTCGAAGTATGCACCACCAGTAGAAATAATCAAAAGCATATGGCCCATATGAGAATGGTTCCTATTATAATGGTAATTTCAAAGACACTGATTAAAAAGGTTGAATGACTTGCCTGTCAACATGAATATCTCACAAGGCTATACTGAATGTTGTTGCGATTGTAACAGCAAGAATACTGTAAAAATTCATAGAGGTACACAAGCAATGAATTCCTAAGAAGTAGGTTTTTGATAAATACACTGTGGACATGTATGACCTGTATATTAGTATTAATAATAATAATAATAATAATAATAATAATAATAATAATAATAATAATAATAGTAGTAGTAGTAGTAGTAGTAATAGTAATAATAATAATTATTATTATTATTTAGTTTTTATGAGGGAAACTAGAAATTCTAAAGCAAATTCTGGAGGGTCTGGACTCCTAAAT